GTTACCTTGAAACGACAGATGATCCTAATTTACGGCGCAATTTGGCTTGGTGGGGGTACCTCATGGAACCTTGTATAGGCCACCCCCGTGTATTCCTTGGAACCAAGTGTCTCACTGACACAATTTGCAGCTTTATATGGTTTTACGCGCGTCACCAACCTGCTATTTGGCATGAGCTAACAAAAGGAATTCGCGAAAGTGCAAAATACCCCCCCCCCTAAATCGGAGAGCGCCCCGTTTCCCTGTTTTCGATCCCCAGGCAGTGATTTCTTTCAAACGTTTCCAGACCCCAAAGTCTCTTAGATAGTGCAGAAGGGTTCTCATTTCAGGGAATGGCATTCACGAACACCTCGCCCTGTGTCTTTCCGACTAATTCAGCAGAGAAGAGCCTCGGATCCAATCCGATTTGTCTCGCAGCACCAGCAGCCAATGGAGACTCATTCTTCCTCGACATGGCATCAACGACGGTCGCCTACGGAAAGGTATAACCCATAATATCTATATATCGTATTATGACCCTATTTTACAAAAAGAAAACGTTATTGACGGTTTTTTTTCTTAATTGGCTTCCTTTTCAATTCATAAATGCAAAGGAGGGAGAAAATAAAGTTTCGTAGGCGCGCCTCGTGCTGCCGTTGCGGAAAATTTTCGCAAAATACGACCGTCATCCCTTGATATTTCCTGCTCTGGTACGACCCGCTACCCATCCTACCTGCCATCTTCCTAAATTCTCCCAACTTCCTATACTTTTTTTGAGGTTCTCCTAAAGAAATCATTTTCCCCGGAAAGTGCAGCGTAGAGCGAGGGAAAGGGGCGGGGTGAAGAGTATACAGCTAACTCCCATCCTACTTACTGTATTCCTGATTTTTACCAAAATCCTGACCAAAATGAGCGGCGGGGAGAGGGAAAGTAGGAGGCACCAGAGCACATCATTGGTTGGAGATTTTATTTTAGTCGAGTCCGAACGACCCCCCCCCCCCCCTCCGCCCCCTCTCTCCCTCCTCATCGAACCGAGAATCGAACCGTCGAGGAGGAGGGGGTATAGTACGC